CACACACACACACACACACACACACACACACACACACACACACACACACTCTCTCTCTCAAAGCACAGGAAGGGAATTCAATTTGTTTTTGTTGGCCCTTTACTGTGCCATGAAAACATGGAGCAAGGAAATGTTGGAGAACACTGAACTGGAGTGTATAGAAACGACCTCTGAGTATATATAGTCGTGGTATTAGACATAATACTTACAATATTTATGAAACTTGTTGTTCTATGGAATAAGACCATAGACTTAATATAAGTCATGATATTTCAACCCACTTTTATAGCATTAAATGAGAGAACAGATGGACAAACATCGATGTGAAGGCGCATCATTCATCGTTCTTCTACATCGTTCTATTACTTTTATTACTATTACTAAATACGAAGCCTCTCCTCTCCTCTCCTCTCCTCTCCTCTCCTCTCCTCTCCTCTCCTCTCCTCTCCTCAGAGCGGTTCACACAGCTGCTGCTCCCTCAGCCGAGAGCAGACTTGGAGATCCTTCCCATGGTGCATCAGAGGCGATACCCCAAGTACATTTCTGTCTGTCTCTCTCTGTGCCTGTGACTGTGTGAGTGATGTGGCTGATTCCTCATGAAAGCTTAGAATCACACAGGGGTCAGAGGTTCTGACCTCCTGACCTCTGACCCCTGTGCTCTTCCTGCTGTTTGTTTGAGGGAGAGAGATAGAGGGAGATAGGGAGAGGGAGATGTGGGTTCAGAGAGGATGAGTGTTTGTTTTGTGAAAGTAACCCATAGCCCCCCTCTCTCTGTTAGGTGGGCCAAGGTGTACGACTGTGTTCAAATACAGTTAGAGAAGAATGGGTTAATTTCATTTTACTGATATTCTGCAACTTCTGGATATCTATATTTTGTTTATTACTTTAATTATCACCACTAATATTCTTTTTTAAAAATGTCTTTCAAAATAAAGGTTCTAATCCAGGATAATCAATACCTTAATTCCCCCGTGGAGGAAATGATTATTGCAGTATATAGTTTTCAGGTTTGATAAATAGTTGAGATGCATTGTAGATTAGATGTAAGCAGATTTAAGAGTTTATTCATGTGTTTGTCAGTACATACAATATCCTGTGGACATTCAGAATCACAGCACTGTAAAACATTTGTAATAACACTAAACATATTAATTATCATAGGAGAAATTACAATACTACTAATAAACACTCAAAGCCTCTGCCTCTCTCTCCTCAGACACCAAACATTTCCTGAGCTCAGTTTGGATTTCCATGCATCGTATTGTCTGATTGATTTCACATGTGTATGTTCTGTGTACTTGTGTGTATTTGTGAGAAGTGTGTGTTTTGTTTTACAAGTGTTTGAGCAGCTGTTGTAGATACGATGGGTGTTTGTGTGTGTTAGGGGATCCCATCGTCTGTACACACGCACACACACACACACACACACACACACACACACACACACACACACACACACACACACACACACACACACACACACACACACACACACACACACATACAGACTGTGGGATCTCAGATGCAGGATGTTTATCTGTGTATGTATATCTGACCCTGGGGGGGGGGGGCAGCTATAAATATATGTTTGCATATTTTTCCAGTTTGGGGTCTAATCTGCTTCTGTGGTTTTTGTCCATATTGTTTGCTCAGGCTCTACGTGGACGGCCCATTTGGAAGTCCATCAGAGGAAGTGTTCAACTACGACGTCAGTGTGTGTGTTGCTGGTGGAATAGGAGTCACACCGTTTGCCTGCGTGCTGCATGCTCTGCTGTGAGTTACGAACAAAAATACCACATACTGAAAAATCATGAAGGTACTTGACATCTTCACCTTTTCTCTCCCTGCTGCACACTCAGTGATGGCTGGGAGGGTTTCAGGTTGCAGAGGTTGTACTTTGTTTGGGTCTGCAGAGAGCTTCAGTCCTTCTACTGGTTTGCTGAGCTGCTGTGTGCCCTTCATCACAAGGTCAGAATAAACCCAGCAGGCAATAGCCCACGTGTTACATTAATTAAAACATGGGAATTCATCTGCGGTTAATAATTAGAGTTTGGACACTGATTGAAAAGCACGTACAGTTTTTGATTGCTTTGAAATCAGCACTTGGCCAGAACACTCACTGTCTGAGAGGACTTCAGTAGTTCACTTGAAAATATCTGTGCCTTCCCTGGTTACTGTTCATTCAGAAAATAAAGGTGAAGCTATTTTATCAGTAAACATAATCAACTTGCCATCAGCTAATAGGGCTACTAGTATACCCATCATGCTTGTATGTAAATATACAAATCTATTAAACAATATAAATGTAATGATATTAGTCAAATGAAAAAAATTAACAGTCAAGGTCTTGGAGTAAAGACCATTCCCGTTTTGTGGCTGTTTGTAATTTTACACCTTATATTTCAAGAAACTGAAATAAATGTTGCTGTTTATCTTCAATGTTTTTTTAACTAAATCAGTATCGACACCAATAAACACTGAACTTTCCTTGTCATTTAGCTTTGGAAGGAAAACAGACCAGACTACTTTAATCTGAAACTGTACGTCAGCCGGACAGACAGTCTGCAGGTAGGTGTGGACAAGACCCCAACTCACACACACACACACACACACACACACACACACACA